TCTTCGTCGGAGATGTCCGGCGAGGCCCAGGGTTCGGTGACAAATACGATGTCACAGCGCTGATGTTCATGCAGCGTCCTCATCTCTGCTTCTTTCCCTCTTAGCCCCCTATCGTTGGTGTGCATACATGTTAGTGTGCCTGGTGAGAGGGAAGGGTTGGTTGTATACTTTCGCGACAGAGGTGCTTGCTCGGTTGGGCCCAGCGTCTCTAGCCCTCATAGGACTGGGATCACTCCGTTTTTTGCGTTTTATTTTTGGCTTATGCGGGGGCTATGACAGCGGGCGCTTCTTTACTCTATGTATCTGACTCACCGGTCAGTGTCTGTGTGACAACGACTGACTCCAGAGGTCTTTGCAGTTGCCGTTTCTCCTCCTGCCTCGCTAGTTTAGGCTTACTTACACACATGCGTATTGAGCAACCCGTGTGGACTTTCACACCATATCATGCGTGTAGAACGTCTGTGAGTCGAATTTGGTGGTGAGTAGTCTGGACGTGGGGATCGACTTCGGATGCTCTGGTCCCGGCAGTCTGCTGACGCTGTCGGCTGGTACATTTTCGAGACCAACTTTGGTTGAGAGCCGTTGCCATTGTTGGACATCACGGAAGTGCCGACCCTTAGCTCGGCTGTCACTAAGCCGCTCTGGGATACAGCGTCGCTTCTGTGTGGATTTCTAACCTCTGAATTTTTCTCCCCCTTCCTTACTGACCATGGCTTGTCCGAATTTCGCCGGTATTAACAACGTCCGGTTGTCACGAGAGAAGGAGGGTGTCTTCGATCCCTTTAGCGGCGTTCACGGACACACGTATGGGGGCTGGCTTATCTCGGGGAGCCAGGCTTCGGCTAGAAAGGCGACAGTGTCGTGGGGAAAGGAGGAGGCCCCAGTATCTGACAGTTATCGGTCCGCATTTGGTTGCCAAACTGTTCTCTCTCGATCAACAATGAGTCTGTCGACACATCGACGTTGAACGAGATTATCCAGTTTGCCCTCCTGCCGCCTGGATTTGTTGTGGGTGCCACGCCCTACCTCCCAGTGTGTTTGTTGTGTTGGTTGTTTCCCTGTCACGGTGTCTCTGATGTTTGGGCCGGGTCTTGTGGGGCGTCTGTTGGCCAGTGTCATCTGCCAGGCGCTTGACATCCTCTGAGGCCGGGTAGGTGGTACGGAGATTTGACCCAATGTTGTCTCAGTGCATGGTGGAGTGTGCATAGCTGGAGATCTACCTTCGTTTCTAGGTCCCTCTGTGTTATCCTCTAATGTTAACCCTCCGGGATGTTGGTAACTTTCGCCTGGCGGACAGCACCTACTTTAGGTCTTCCGTGCGGAGTGTGGGCAGCTTCCTGTGCCTTGGACAAATGTATCAGAACCATCTGCATCACTGTCTCTTCGTCAGCCCATAGTATTGTCGGGGTACTTCGGTGCCACAGTGGCAGTGGGCTCATCGGTGACATAGGTTGCATGCAAATGCCTCATCAACTGCCGGAACAACCTTAGTGCAAACACTGCAGCCTCCGAAGAAGGTGCTGTGGATTTTGGCGAACTGCATGTGGCTGCCTTATTCTAAAGCCTGACATGCCATTTCCCCTTTTTAGGCATGGTCTGATCCTCGCCCAAGGTGGGCGTAGTTTGTGACGTGCTAGCGCTACTCTGTGTCACCTGTTTGATGGTGACCGGAATTCAAGAAACGTAAGCTGGCCGCCTCTTTAGAAGTTTGGCATTCTGCCCTACCTCTCTTTGTCTACAGGTACAGACTGCAGTGTTGTTTCGAGGGTTGTTGCTCCTTTTTGTGCACCACCGCCTCATCCACGTCAAGGCTTCGGATCTGGCGTTTCGGACAGACATGTTGACAGGGACAAGATAAAGCGGTGAAGGAGGGAATAACGCGGCCAACCGTTTTAGTGAATGCAGCGCAGTCAATCTGAAGGTATTTTATCCGCAAACCGTGGCCAGGTTTGTTTGGTTTGTAAATCCTCCCTATGGCAATATCACACCTGACAATAAAAGTGAAAAAACAAGAAGAGGATAGTTTTTGAACTCTAGCGTCAAAATCTTGAGGTTCTTATTTCGCTGTTTGGCTTCGCATCCTTAGAAGGGAGAGAAATCTCTCCTGGTTTAGGCCTAACGATTTGAGGGTTTTCTATGGGTTTGTATTAGGAAGCTACTGACTTCATGAGAAATTAGTTTCCACAAGTTACTGCTATTGTTAAAGTTGCCTGAATATGGAAGGTAGAATGGTGACCTAAAGGTAAACCGGATGTCCCTGAATAGCTAAATTGATAAAAATGAGTGTACGTATTAAAAGAGCCCAATATCCAATATCTTGCTACGAGCTAGCGTAGGCCAACTGATTTCTTCGTGCTCGCTCCTAGGTCTTGCGGAGCGGTTCCAGGTCTTCGGCGGATTCCTATGGAGTAGGTCTACCCACTCGACTGCTGTAGTTGTAAGTAGCCCGACGGGCGGTCGGCTGTTGGGCAAGTTTGCAGGGGGCATGTGGGTTTTTTCAGGGGCCGTGGTGCAGATGGGTTCCTCAAGTTTCATGCCAGCAGACAATTGGTCGAACTGGTTGCAAAAGGAAGACAGAGAACAGGTTAAGAGAAATCAGGGCAGAGAAAGTCCGAAGAAAAAAACATTTGGAAAAAGACGATCAAGTAAGACGAAACAAAAGGAAAGGAGAAATCTCGGTGGATTTATGGGATAAGGGTGGTGGGGAAAGCTTTTATAAAGGTGTGGGGACATAAAGTCAGTAGAAAGGTAAGAAGCAAGTAACATTATAGGATGGCTTGTGGGAACAGAAGTAGTAATACTATTAGTAGGAGATGACACATAGGACAAAAGGAAACGGACACCAGGTAGCATATAAGCAGAGGCAAGCACTGAAATACAGGAGGGCTGGTTAGTTAAATACTGGCCTTAGCACGTCGTTAGCAAGCCATACAAAGTGGAATAACCATCTGGCCATCAAGTTGGAACCTGTGTGGACTTGGAATTGCCGAAGTGTTTAGCGTCACCTTCGACAAGCTCAACATTCTGTCGGCCAAGTATACGTACAAACAGCTTGGACAGCTTTCACGTTATCGAGTGTAGGAAACTTGTGTGGAATGTAGATGACATTTGGTGACATTCTTCATGTGGCGTTAAAAATTCATTGGGAAATATCACCAGTGAAAGATGATATTATCTCATCTGTGTGAAAAATAACGTGCAAATCCCTCGTATAACCCTCCCCGTAATGGTTTTGGGCACTTCCTAGACAAATACAAGTCATGTTACCCCTCTGTCGTGCTTGATAGAATAGACAGATAGTGTCTGAAGTGCTAGTAACCTGCAGCCCCATTAGGTGTTGACAGAAATAATAGATAGCCCGGTGCGCATTGGGAGGAATCCGCACAGGAGGGTGTACTAAATGAGTCTCAACACGGGCCTCCACAAGGTAGGATCTTGCGCTTGTGACCTGCTGTCAGTCTACGACAACCAGACAGAATACTGAAGCTACTAGACTAGTGTCCACATGGTTTTTCTGGGTCCCGCCAGGGTCAACGCTACCATCACGCCCATCATCATCCAGCTAAATTCACACGTTTCGGTATTAATGGCCAGAAAGCATTCCATTTAGCGGACAACCTGTACGGTGGAGAATTTTACACAAAAGTCAAGCGAGTATGCTCATGTGAGTATGCCATATTACAGAAGCTTAGTGGCAGATTTTAATCACAACCAAATGTTAAGGAAGAAAGTCGGCATCGGTTGCTCACCGGCAGCCAGTTCATGTCAACAATTATCTACTCATATCAAGAGTATGAGAAGTTAGTGCCAGGGTTGTTGTCTATGAGGAAAATGAAAGATTCATGGTGAGACTGGCCAGCTCATAGGACGTAACATAACCGACAGAATATGAGATTATCGCACATCCGCCTCAGCTGAAGAGGGCCAAGCACCTACTAGACGTGTTTCAAAGCAGAGCGACCGAGATGCTCCACACTGTCGCTTGTGCTGACAGAATTAAAGTACGAAATCTGGTTCACTTTGCATGTGAACGAAATGGGGGACGATTTGTAATGCTATATTGTGCAGTATTCAGTCTTAGATACCCTGTGAGCAATCCAATCATGGTAAACCATCACAAAAGTGATAGAAAAGATCATCAGAGGTCAGGACTGTGAAACGTTGGGTCCTAAACACAACAAAAAGTTTTTAGAGTCAGATCCCTATAAAGTAGCATCCCAAGTCCTTACATCAACAGTTTCAAGAAGGGGCTAGACAGATATATGGAGTGACTAGTACTCTGTCAGTGACTCAAGGATTTGGAGACTTGATAAGCTAACAAAAAACTGTGGCCTTCTTCTACAGCCATTATCAGGTGTTCAAAACCCATGCTTTCTACCTCTACCATTCGGTCAATTCCCGCATGCTTTTCTCTCTCTCTTATTTCTCTCCTCTACCCCCTCCTTTTCTAATTCTGCTTTCTTTGTTTTCCTTTTTTCTCCACTCATTTTCGTTTTTCGCCTTCATTCTTCTATCTTTCCGCTGTTTTACTGTTCTCTTGCAGGTATTTTCACAGACGGGAGCCACGACAGTCCACTTAACTTTCCGGGAACCCGTAGCTTCACAACCACTCTACAAATATAACTTACTAACCCAGAATGCATCCGCCTCACCGAGGCTGCAAGCTGGAAAGCAGGGGTGTTTCCATTTCCGCCGCAGGAGCGAACCGAGCAATCCAAACCGAGCCCCAAGAAACAGACATTAGGGATCAAAATCTATCAGTTTTCTGCGCTCTCACTACCAACATTGGATATTAGACCTGCGCTGAAAGGGAAAGAGCAGATGTGATTTTTCTGCACAGTACAAAAGCAGATGATGGAACAATAAGAAAACTCTAAGAACTGAAAGTGAAACATTTAAACGATCAGCTTCTCACGCTCTTACCAGGGTAGTTGGTGTTGGATGTTGATTAACAGGTTTGGCACCGCCGAGGTCGAACATGAAGGTCGATTTTAAGCGTGATGCACTTCGCAGAGTTGCTTTTGTCTGAAGTAGCTGTGAATGGCTTGGAGGGAGTCACAGTGAATCAGCTGTGGCACAATTTAAAAGATGATAGACTTAGTTTTCCGTGGAGAATCGATGATGACAGCAAACAATTTATTTGGTCCACTCTCATGAAAATGAGAAATATCAGGTATTATGTTATGCCACGTCCCGTTGCGCTGCGTGAAACATTCAGTCGTATTGACTGCCTAGTGGAAATGAAGGATGGTACATACTACAAACTACCTGTAAATTTCTTAACTCAAGTGTTACTCTCCTTAGGATTCACTGCCTCAAGTTAAGTTTTTCCCTGTAACTAAAGATGGTGTATTTGGATCGTCAGAGTATTATGAGGAGAGAAAAGATATCACGGAAGTAATTCACAATGACGCTTCTTGTGACATGCTACAAAATGTTAATGACAGGTTCGTTCATATTCTCGATCTTTCAATTTTTTTTTCTTCAAAAGATGGGGTGACACTCTAGTATTAGTGGCATCACAGAAAGAAAGAAACAGATTCCTCTTTGGAAACCCGAACATACCTCGTAGCTTCTCCACAGGCCTGTATGTTATGGTAGAAGCTATTGCTAAGTAAGTCATTCTGGATTTTGTTTTTTTTTAATATAAAGCCACATAAATGTGGTTTTTTTTATTGGACTGGTATTGGGACTGAAGAGTAGGAAGTCTTAACTTGTTATTGTCATTTAGTATCCAAGTTACGACAAATGCATATCAGTTGGATTTGAGTCGTGTAACTTCACCAGCGGATGTCATTTATTTTTTTCCTCCTTCCAATATCCAATATCGATAGTGCAAGCGTAGAAAACCGGTAATTTTTTCATCTCTCGCGTCTAGTTCTTAAGGCTTTGCATTCTCAGTGGGCAGTGAAAGCGTAACTTTACTTCGGTCTTCTCTCCGATTCGACTACGCTACTTGCTGCTATTCACTATTTCTGGTGGTACATGTTCTCCAAAATATGGCGAATAAAACAGCAATACCTACTTGTTCTCGTCATTAAGTTTCTTAGGTAGTTTATCGCGAAACTCTGCTTTTTAGACATTTTTAGGGGAGATTTCATCTGGTTTTGGCGCTAAAACTCTGAACTGTTAGTTATTTCTTCGGAAAATAGGTTTTCTTAGTCTAGTAATACGTGATCTTTTTGGAATTTTGTCGAGTACAGCAAGTCTGCTTACCGTTGTTGAATCATAATGTAGTCAGCAACCTTGTGCACATTCTTGCTATAGGCAATGAGGTACATCTATTGTAAAGGCTGATGATACTACCTAGCTGTTCAAACCTCGGTAAGTGAATCAGTGATCGAATCCATGACCAGTTGATTTAAAGTCAACTGTCTAAATCAATAAGCCACCTCATCGTTGTCAGTGCGTACTTGTGCTAATTACATTGAGTGACCCGTACTTGTTCGCTTGTTGTGCACTGGCTTGCCAACAGAAATGACTACCCGTTCTGACGATCAGTCATTTAATGCTTGGCTCCAAGACAGTTCAAGGATGCTTGTTCGTATGCCTCTTCATTCCTGATTTAGTCCCAGTGCTGCGGTCGGTTTATCGAGCTAACTTTCTGCATTTCACTCTTTTATCTTAGTGAGCATCCTTTTATTTGTCATTTAGCTGGCTTCTATGATTAGTCTTCTATATCATGCTTGCCCATGACGTGTTTCGACTTGATTTACGCTAACATTCACCTTTGATGAAATCAAAGCATATGAAGACTAGCTTTCTTACGTGGTGTGAGAACCAAACCTAGTTGTTCCCGTCATAGCGTTCTCTTTAGTACTTTGAGGTAAAATATTGTTTTTTGTTGAGTAATAGCTTGTCAAATATATGTTTCATATACACCTTTCATTTTGATGATAATAATGTTGGATACCATTAGTTCCTCGCTCGTATGAATTTCGTTCCGTAGTTTGGCATTTTCAGTTCGATTAAGATGATACATTAGAGTTGTTTAATACATACTTAAGCGAAATCGAGGACAGCCACCTGAACACATGCATTGCTTTCGCTTCTTGGTGCTTTTTACTAGTGGGTTACTCATTTAGAGGAAACATCTTAAAGAGGGTGGAGCTTTTGTTCAGTAGTTTATCTAAATAAACTTCCATCATCAAATCACAGATGTTTACATTACCTACAGGGATTTAAATGAAACAATATCACCAGCTTTCAAAATAGATGAGTCTTGCATTGTTTTTGTTTGGCAACCCTCATTATGTTAAGTTGCATTGTTTTTAATTTTATTGGTTTCGGGTCCCTGTGACAAATATATTCTAGTTGTTAGTATCAGCCACTGGCGTATTGTTTTTATTGGAATATACCTGTTCATATCACCCAGCCACTTTATCACTATTCGTGAGGTTGTTAGTAAGTTGCATGTTCTTAAATAAGTTCACTTTATCCATCCAACACTAACTGACCTCATAGAGTGGGGGGGCGGGATAGCTGTGTTGTATGCGAATCTGTTTTTTGACGTAACAACTCATTAGGTAATTTGCTGGGGATTAAATAGTTCACTGTTTTGAAATATGCATCAGAATTGAGTTCACTAGATTTATAATTTGTACTTGTATCTTCTATTTTCAACCAGTATCAAGAAACTTGAGACTTTCTTAAAGATCTTACGCAACTGCTTGCTTTGTTTTGACCATGCACTTTTTTATACTCCTTTATATCACCACGCTTTACTTTGTGTAGCTCTCAGTAACCATATTGTATCGATTTCAATGCATATTTATCTATATATGGGTGAAAGTATCTGTTGCATACTTGCATCGAACTGAATATTTTAGGCACAAGTACAATGGGTTATCTACTACGCATTATGATGGATTACTTTCTTCTGGTATGGCAACTGGTACTATATGGTATATGCGTCAAAAACTGGAGAAAATGGGTGTAATAAAATCTCAGGTAATTTCTATTAGAAAGTTATCTCTAAGCCGTTCAGCCCTACTTAATGAAGGTAGGCAAAAAGCCTGTAATGCCAGGTTTACTTCTGCATCATAGGAAATATTACATACATTTTCCGTTTCCGCCTGCAATCTTTATGGATAGGATAACGCAATTTTTACTAACTAAACCAAAAAACAAGTGTTTCGGATTCGAGATTCGCAAGGTTGGTTATACGCTTTTCATCTTGCTCTTGTACCTTTTAATTTTCTTTTTTGATTTATACTTGATTTATAGTTGCTATATACATCTAGTGTATATCATTCCAGCAACATTTTTATCGTACATGTTCTCATACTAGCTAATATATTTTTGGCCACGATTTTATCCGTAGCCTGTATTCAGCGTATTGGTATAGTACGCGTCGTTGACGGATAGCAAGTATACAATTTAGCTTCCTGTTCGTATATTTTTGTGTCTAAATGTTCCACTCTGCCGTAGATGTTCACTTGTCTTTTGTAAGATAAATGGTTTGTTACTTTGGGATAAGTAAACGTATTACGTCCAAACGTTCCACTTAGTATTCATTGACAGTGAATTAAGTCCTCAACTCTCTGAATGACAGATGTCCTAAACCTATCTATTCATCATATGTCAAAAACTTAACCTTTCTTGACTGAAAATTAGGTTCCTTGGGTTGAAGTTTGTTGTAGTGTTCGATTCGAAAACACTTTTCGTCACTAAAACAATTTTTTTATCCTTATGATTTAGTTAAATGAAGGTCATGTTATATCATGTATCGGCTAGAAAAGTAAGGTTATTCGATTTCAACTCAGTAACTGAACGTCTGTATGTCGACCATTCTGTTGGCTTATCCTATCTACTGACTGCATATAACGTCAAGAGTGCTCACAATGGAAGAGTTCTGAATTCTAGTGAAAGAAGTATTCAGTCCCATTTAATTACCAGTAATTATACAGCCGACTATTTATTCAGTTATAAAATCTATAGACAGTAATTTAGGGTTTGTCTGGCTATCGTGACTTTTCTTTCGGTTCTTGTTATACACTTTCAGGGTGAATAAGCCATCCTTTGTTTGCTTTGAAATTGGTTTTGCCTGCGTAAAAATTTCTTGATTTCATCACTTTGGTTAGGTTATAAGTCTTAGTCTTGTAAACATAAGTTTTTATTAGTGATATTTCGCCATCATTACGTTCACATCGATTTCTTTCTCGTATTACCTTCAGTTTATCGGTATTACTTCGAAAGGAATCAAGCGAACTCTTAAATTTGGTGCGAGACATGGTTGGCTGGACGTCATTAATATAAGTTTTAGAGGCGCTTGTGCCGTGATCCTTGATAAGAATGAAGATGATATAGACGATGAGGACATGCTCAATTTGCTTCAGAAGACTAATTGTGCAATAGACCCGCATCATCGATATCCATGCATGGTCAATTTGGTATCGCTTATCAAGCCATTTAGCATGGACTCCTGGATATCTGAATGTGGTCAAGGTGAAAATGCTTTTGGGTTCAAGAAATGTAGGAAAGAAGAATATGATATCGACTCTGATGACGCTTTCGACGAGGAATACGAAGCTGTTGATGACCAGCTGGAATTATCATCAGTAAAGCCTGATAATCCCGACAATACTGAGTTTAAATTGAAAGAGCAACAGGCTGCTTCCTCTGCATTTGATACCCAGATATCCATGAACACTTCCTTTTGTCTTCCTGTGTCCAGCAAAGTTCAGTGTCTAGTGTACGCTAAAAGATTACTCGCCTGTAAGTCAAGTTCTCTACTAATTTTCATGATATCCTTTTTACTACCAAAAGTTTATACATATCTATACGTATATATTCTGTTAAATAAGTGTTAACTATCAAAAACGCTAGACGAAGTTATCCTAAATATAAAAAATAAAACCGCCCTTTTTTCAAAGAAAGTTATTCTAGTCACTAAGTTTCGTGAAATCCTCATAGTCTCATTTCCACAAGTTAATTGAGAGTACTGGTTTGGTTACCTACTTGCATGTGGGTGTATCTAGAAACTTAAGACAATGTAGGAAACCATGGTGTGTATTAGTGAGACTTCCATAGACACCAATAGTTGATGAAATCAGCGAGTGTTTTGTAACTGCTCTTACTGTTCGCAGTCCTGTATGTATTTGCTTCCGTCTGTGGAGCTAGATCGTGTCGTTAGTCTGTGTATCCATGGTTGCTTAAAAACGAGTGCAAAATTATGTTAATGGCTACCGAGTTACTCTGTGTTGGTCACATTATTTTGAGACACTGTATATCAAATCATGCAATAGTTCCAGGCAGTCTTTTTGTTCAGTCTTTGTGGGAAGTGATTTTGGTATCATAAGTCGCCTCCTAAGATGCTCTAATATGGCACTGAAGTCGTTAAAGTAATGGTCTTGCGTCACAACGTCTCCACCAACCCATTTCATTTTCAATCTACTTATTCGTATAGTATCGTTAACTGTTAAACAGCAGTTGTGACTCAGCCCATTAAATGGTGCTGCAACTTCTATTTGGCGAAATTCGCTTTCTCCATTGATATCCCCCTAATGTTAAGATATATTGTAATTAGAAAGAGTGTTGTTTCCTGGTCAGTGCATGCCTAAGGATAATCAAAAATTATGCTTGTCGTAATAGATGTTCTTGTATATTTAATCGTCATTTGTTTCTTAACTCTCGATATCTTGTTGCATTTTTCTGTTTCATCTAAGTCATTCCCTCACTCAATATTGACGAATCCATAGCAGTTCAAATAGTTCGTATCCTAATCATAAACGAGTGCACAATGGCTGAACTTTTAGCGGTAACAAAAACAACCTTATCCAATTTACGTCGTACTCTGAAAAGCCTGGTTACAATTGGCGCATTGAAAGCTGTAAAACGGTCTATGGACTCTACTTTTGTTCTTTAGTACGTTATTTATCAATGTTGATAATTTCATTCAAGTGTAATTAAAAAAAATAATTGCGAGTGCTATTTACGCTATAACATTTTAATTGCCAGTGATTTTAATGGTTTTCGAGACTTGTATTGTAGTTGCATACTGTTTGTTTCTTTGATGGAGGGAGAATAAATTAAGGTGTAGAGTTTATGCGACCTTGAGCGATGGCTGACAAAATTAGGTACCACCTTGTTGACTTAAGTGGTAGGTATATAGTACGATAGCATCGAAATAGCCAATATATTGGTGTAATGGTTCCCTTTTTTTGGTCAGCTTACAGCTTTTTACAATCGCGACTTATTCTAGCTAACAACGAGTTGGGATGAACGATAAGAAGAATGCTTCAGTTGATGAAAGTCAACAGCCTCAACAAATAACTTTTCTCCCTAACCTTACGCTCACTGCCTAACTTCTGTATTGTTCACACGATGAATCCACTACACATGAGTTAAACTACGGAGACGATTATTGTCAAATACCATTATTAATCATCGTTAATTTCTCACGTCCGTTTTCTGCAGCCATATAACAGATGAAGCGCATAGCTGCAAATATTACTCAGTCTTTAATAAGCTTTTGGATATCGCACTAGGTGTATAGATGGTCTGATTGAGCTTTTATAACCATTCGGTGGAAAATAGAAAGTTAGCTTCAGCTCGTTCTGTTCGTGCATGTTTTATGCTACAATTATACTATACTAAAAGTGTTCATTTTATAGACTCCTTTTAGTTCTAACAACCTAGTTAGCGATCGTAGTAGTAAACTTTTTTGTGATCATGATTAAAATTTTGGTAACTAGTTTGCATTGATGAAAACTTAAAACGTTTTAACATTGAACTGTTGTTGTTGCTGAGAGTTCTTTTTTTAGCTTCGCCAATCTGCAGCTGGTGATAGTTTTTATTCACGAGTAGCAGTTTACACCGATTGAAATGTAATTTTAATACATAAAAGTTAAAAAACATACGAACTTTCCTAAAAAGCGTCAATTCCAACGGTATCATAAATAGTTAGTATAGAAAATCAGCTACTGTTTTTTTTCCGAATAATTTTCACAAAGACTGGACTATTGTTGTCAGTCTAGTCTATTTAATTAACAGAGTTAAGGAATCCGTTTTTATGTTTCAGAAGTGTGGTCTCTTAAGCATTACAAATTACGCTGCGCATATTGATCTGTTTATTAGGAGTGCTGACTTTGAATTTTTCCTACCTAGTATGAATGCATTCTTGTAAAACTGTTCTGTTTATTTGTCTACAAAAACCCTCTTTAATAGCTATAGCATAGTAACTGATGCAGATAGAATAGAAACCTTGAAAGTTAAATCAACCAAAACCCTCCCAGTAATGCAAGCATTACCAACCGTCCGTAAGTCTAGAACTCATATTTTGTTATTTTTGCATACCGTTGCCCTCTGAGGTTTCTTTTTTTCCAGCAGATTGTGACAATGTCTTTGATTTCAACATTATCGTTGTCTTTGATGGTGGATGTTTAAAAAAATTTAAATCTTTGTTAGAATTTATCCTAATTGGAGGGGGACACTAATGAGTAGTTTGCTTATGAGATATAATTGCAAGATTATTTGTATGGACTCTCAGGTTATCGAGCACCTTTATCATAGTGTTTTTCTGCTTCCTTACTGCCTAGAGATTCTCGAAATTTAACGTCTAATACAAGTTATGCCATCTGTGAATTTCTTTCCTTGAAATTCGGAATCAAAGTGATTCTCCAACAATAAACTCCAAAACACAAAATTTATCTGAAATGTGTTTCTTTATGAATAAACAGTAGTGAATAGTAAATTATGAACCTTAAGTCGTTGGGTATCTGTGGGTTTATCACTATCAAGTCACCTTGCAGAGAGTGCGTCAACAGTACAGTAGCAAGGCTGTTTCCAAGGCTAAACCAAAAGGGAATATAAAAGACGCGCGTATCCCACGAGATAAACGATCGTTCAAGATAACATCAGGGAACAAAGAAAGGAACCCCAAAATCGTCATGAACGGGGAAGGGTACTAATATTTAGGGATATTAAATGATGAACAAGATACAACTGAATGAAATGAACAGTCAAGTTGATGATGAAGTGACATTATAAAAGTACGAGTTATACTACTCAATAATACTAAGTAGTATGAAACGGAAGGTAAAAAAGGAGTAGCATCATACAAAATAAACGAGAACAAATGAGAAGGGAATTAACACCATCTTATCATGTAAGTATGAAAACCTGGCTGCCTATATCTCATCTTTCTCATGAAATGAGAAAAGCTATAAGACGGTATATCCTGTGTTAGACGTTAAGTTTGTAGAAGATGGCACGCGACTATCTGAGAGGAGTTCACGCAAATTAACTTGCCGTTTCACTTTGTGCGGAGTAAAAAGTTACACCTTTTACGTGTGCATCAATTTATCTGTTGTCTTTAAGTTTATTGGATCAGCCAGATATCAGAAGGTGTAGAAAATGAAGTACTGATTTTCATCACTTGAAATATATATTTGTGTAGATGGATTCATCTTAAGTGCGCATACCACTTGTATTCTGCGTATGTTAAGGTAGTTTTTACCTCCAAAAAAATAAAAATTCGATGAGTTTTTGTTGATGAATGGCCTATCAACTTTAATAGAACGTTACAGTCACTGTGGCCATATGCATTCAGTTTCATTTGGGTCCAGAGTTTTATTTAGAGCTCATGTATCAAATGTATTGAAAACATTAGATACTTTAGCACATTATTGAAAGTATTCCAGTATTTATTTAGCTTGTTCACGTGTCCTTTCCATGGAATTTTTTGCTTGATCTGAGTTCAATCATTGGTGATAGAGTTAGTTTCAGGATTGATATCTATGAAAGAATACACTAACCTACTTCATTATTTCGTTATTCTGCCGCCTTCATTCCTTCGGTACTGTTATTCGGCTGGAGAATCTTCTGATCCACTTTAATGCTCATTGGTCAGCTTTAATGTTATTTAGAAACATTTTCCATTTGACTTCACTTATGTGTAGATTATTATTTATGTCAGCTTATTAGCATTGGATTTAAGCGGGAGCACTCACGCCTGTTACCTGTTAGGTAGGATTTTTTTCAACATACCTCGATGTATTCATCTTGGTGATTTGCGTTGGAATCCAGGAGGCGCGTTTCCTCCTATTTGGGACCCATCATCTGGATGTACCTGCACCTCATTGTTGTTCCCGCCGAGACTCGAACCCAGTGCAAGTCGTTTCAAATGCCAAAACGTTATCCACTTGGTTACTGGGGTGCAGATTTATCCAGCTGATGAGTCCTAAGTGGGACGAAACGCGCGTCCTGGATTCCAGTGCGAGTTATCAAGAAGAATACTTCATCATGAATCCCTGGTAGTATCTTAGTCTCCGCATAGGAGCCCATCTGCCAACAGAAGTCGAACTATTCGACCCTATATAGAAACAGGAAATTTTAAGAATAAAAAGTAGCAACAGATGGCTTAGTGTAGTCATATTGTCAGGTAAAGTTATCTGTCTGTTCTTTGTTTATCTGTAGCATCTACTTTTATTTTTCGCATTTGTATACTTCAGGATTTTTGTTTTTTACTAGAATATTATTACTGCAGATTTTACCTTGTAAGTGTTTAGTTTCAATAACGTTCAAGATTAACTACAATTTGTAATTCACTGTCTTCAGAGACGCAGAGACAAAATCGTCGAGCCTTTGTCCTTGATTATCTGGAAAAATATCGTGTAATCGCTTCTGAATATTCATTGCGTCAGTTGATTTGGGACCATGAACGGTCAATTGGTTTGAAAATTCGTATGGATCGTAAATCGTTGCGCAGAATTTTAGAGGAATTAATCCAAGCCAAACTAGCTACGATTATCAGGACAAAATCGCTTAAGGGAGATGTGAGTTAATTAGTTTTACGTCATATACTTAAAAAAAACTGTTCTGTGGTTTAGGAAGCATTTGACGTATTTTAACGAAAAACTGAAAAAGTCCTAATTATTTTGTAACATGTATTAACTATCGCTAACGTGCTTTGTATCTTTAAATTTTCATGTATATGAAATCGTAATTTTGTGGCCACTATTGACAAAAGGTTATATCCGTGGCAAACCCATAGCACTTTCGTTTTCTTTATGTAACATATAATTATTCGGTTAGCTGGAGTTGAATTGCAGTTGAAATGCACTCAGCAACCTTGTCCACATTCGTGCAGCAGGGAGTGAGCCACACTTATTGTCTAGGGGTTAATGATACTACCTGGCTGCCCAAACCTCAGTAGGTGGAGCGGGGCTGGAACTCGTAACTTATCGTTTAAAAGTCATCTCCCAAAACCAATGAACCACAGCTTCGGAGAGGTGGAAAATCCCACCTCATCACAATAGCTTATAATGTCTAACTTATGGAGATAGACGTTTTCACTAGACTATACTATTATGTATGATTTGACTCTACTGTTCATTGATTAAGAAAAGCCTGTGTAAATAAGTAAAGTATTCAGATAAGTGACTCAGCAAATGAATGTCAAACACGTAAATCACTGCAAATCAGTCGGTAACATTACACTTCTCTAAATGTCATTTTATTTAGTTAAAAAAAAACACAAACTGGGTACACATCCTATGTTGTTTTGGATGGATGAATGGATGGGCACATCGTAGGCACAAAAATATGCTTAAGATAAGCAGAGAGTTTACTTTGTACTAGATCATGGGGTCATAACCAGTGTCTTTAAATAGTAACACTTGTGTCACTTATTTTCTCAGGTTACTATTGAGGAGTCTTTCATCTCACAGAATCCTGTCTAGACTTTTAATCAACTTGAAAGTTCACAGTAGGTTAATGATTCCTCATCTCGTATGTAACAAAAAGCTTACTGGTTAATGCATGGTGATAGTGTGCGGTTATTGGATTTATAGAGTCTTTTCCCTTTTTCGTTGTCTGTTGACTGATATAGTAGTATTAAGGACATCTAGAGTGGCATAATGGACAAGGCTTTGGCGTTTCAAGTGGTAGGTACGAGGTCTGAGTCTCAGCAGGAACAATCGCAGGGATACAGTTACATCCAGCTGGCGAGTCCCAGATAGGACGAAATGCGCTTATTGGATTCCGCTCCTAGCAGTATCCAGACGACCGCATGGTAGCCCATCTGCCAACGGAGGCTAAGCAATTTGACACCGTACAGCAACAGGAGATTATAAGTGTCAAACAACAAGGACATCTACTATTTAAGTCAAGTAGAATTTGTACAGCTTTGAGACTAGTAGAGTTTTGGATTTATCTTTTCATATTCTTGACTGGTTAATGCATTCATTTTCTAAGTTTACCATTGTCATGAATGCACAATGCAAAGACTGATAAACTTGCTTTTGAAAAACTTAGTCGTGAGTAGTACCCTGAGTTCAGGAATAAGAGTAATAACAATACACTGTCTTAAGGAGTTTCGTGCGTTCACTCTGACGCGCATCGAACTAAGCAGTGAATGATTGGTGACCTCCAATTCTAAATCCAGCTACATCTAATAGTCAAGAAAAACTGTCGGTTATTGATCTGGAATTTCCGCTACTAACCGTTAGGTCGCGCGTTCGAACCCCACTTTATTTCCTGCGACCTTGGCAACCAGACGTTATCATAAACCTTTACGGATTAGGTATGACTCAAAACCTAGTAAACAAGCATGTTGAGTTGTATTCTGTTTCAGTTTTACAAAAGAAGTTCTTAGACAGGTAGCTGTTGACTTTGGTTGGAATGTGAAGACAGTGCTGCCATTTGCTTACAGCGTCATTATGATCGGAGAAATGAATAGTTTGTTGACAGCGTAAATGGACTAGATTCAATAAGAATATAAACAGTAAAACCGGAGTCTAAAGAGATAGTATTCCAAATCTTACAAGATTACTTACATAAGGTGTCAGGATTTACAGTCATCTTTTTGACGCTTTTTATCCAATTTCCAGAATAACTTTTTGACAGTCACGAAATTCACCTCATATTTTCTGAATTCACTTTCAAAACTAGTTCGAATCAATTTTAGTGCACTATACTGATTTTCTTTCGATTTTGCTATAACATCCAGTGAAACTAAAAGTTATGTGAATGATTATGTACTCTCTGTAGGTCACTTTTATTTGTCAGCCCGATATCAAGGAAGATGATCCATTGATACTTACAGCCATTAAAAACATGGATCTTGCAGCTATCCGTAATTTACCTTTACACGATGAGAAAAGCACAACTGTTGTATTCAGTGCTGATCAAGTTTCAAGGATTGAAGGTATTAATCCTTTATCGTCTGAGGTATGTTCTCTTGGCTTTTACTCACTTTAATACTTTACACTTTGGTATGCATATTCCTTAGTTTGACATAATTCCTTGTGAACAGTGTTTTTCTCTCTCATTCGATCTTCTGACGCATCAGTTTAGTGACTTCTTCGTAATATTCATCAGAACTGTTTAGATAAAAGATAGGTAACAAGTATACATGCTTTCAAAGTCTGAATACCATCTGCTGTAGGTTGATTGCCTAAAAATCTCTTTTGCACTAAAAGAATGTCAAACCTTTGAACATAGCTGTTGAACTTCTTAGTACAGACAAAAAAAATCGGTTCCATTTGGAGTTTTGTGGGGATTTATATATTGTTCTCAGGCTGTCATTCATCATGGACTGACACCAGTTGAAGAAACATTAAAAACCCGGAAGCACTGGACAGCTGTTTCGTCCTAGTATGGAATTCCTTAGCATTGCCAGAGGTCGAACCCAGGACTTCCTAGTCCCACGACCAGTACTTTACCATTAAGCTACTGAGTTGAAATCTAGTGGTGCATATTTCCTACCTCTGTCAGTTCATGATATAGCGCGACCTCCATCCATTGACGTTGTTGGGTAAGTGTCCTCATTTTCGAATTGCTTGACTCCACCGGTCACGACTTCTCACTGGCACTCGTGTACTCCGACGTTTTCAATGTTTCTCCAACTGATGTCAATTCATGATGAACACAAACCTGAAAATATCGATTATCATTTTGACTATCTGAGATAACCTTGGTTTGATTGATATTGGCTGATGACTGAAGGTGATATGAGAATTTGGGACGTTATAATGGTTAAATTACACGTTAAGCTGTTGAATACCACCTTAAGAGTTAGAAGTGTACACTAGCGTTTACCGTTCGAATGTTACTTCATCCACTAACACCGCTAGTGTTCTAATATCCTAAACTTTCTGTAGGATGTAAGCGATTTTCGAAAGTGAAGGTAGGATAGAATTGTATTTAATACCGATACTTATACATATAACAACTTGATTTCCTACAGTTTCAACCGTTTTTTATTACCCATCATTTGTTACATTTCATGAAGTATGAAAACAGTACAAAATGAAAACAGAAATACATTTTGGTGTTCTGTTGCTTTAGCTTATTCCGCTTTATTACTTACAGGCTATGACTATTGTACTGCATAAGATGCCGTTGTTGCCGAAAATGCGTCGACGATCACTCGTTCATGAATATTTATTTCATGTGATATACGGCTTGTCTGATACACCGTGTCCCATAAAACCTCAGGTCAGTTTGTACATCTATAGAGAAAAATGCAAAGTTTCTAATATTTTTTTATACATTCTTAGTGAATTTTATTACACAACATTTGTTCACGTAATGCTTATCATTATGATATTACCGAAATACGACATCGATATGTGAATTCCGCAAATGTCGACCTAAATCATAAGTATAAGCTTCTTGTTTAGAGTCCATTTGACTGAAATCAACCATTAGGTGATGTGAATGCATGGGCAATTCACTTTCCTTCAAATCTTATGTTTCTATTCCTTTCATCCACTTTAATCTTTAGTTCCTTGCTTTCGAATTTCTTTTTTTGACCACTACAAATATAATTATTTCGACTCCTTTTTTCTCCTGTCATCGATTTCTCTTGATTTTACTGGTGCGAAATGCAACAACTTAGATCGCTACGTAACTATGCCAGGTGCTACTTTGTTAGGGTTTGTCCATCGGCTTACTAAAAAGTACATTATCATATATTTCATTTTAACAATTTCCAGTCTTGCTATGTAGTGAAGACCCTTGTCTGTTAACCGCTCGATCTATAGATATAAATTCATTTAGATACCGTTAGACATCAGTTTGTTTTAGCAAAGTATGCAAAACTGGGCTTAACTGACCACATGGATCATACTACTGAAATGTTCACTCTGTGTTAATGTAGTTTTTCCATCTCAGCCAGTAATTTATTATTCATCGGTTGCCTGTCCTCTCCCATAGCCTTGTGTCTTTTGATATCACTCTTTTTCTATCCTCTTGTTCTTTACTAGCTACTGTGAAGTGTGGCAACTTGAGTGTGCGGGGTTCCACGTTAGTTTTAGTCTTTTTGTCTGTCAGATGTCATTGCTTTGCAAAATGAGTGTTTTCGGGCCAGTTACTTCACTATTTTTTTTCGCAATGTCAGCTTTTCGTTACAGTTCTCTCAATGAATATAAAAAACTATTTACTTACTGTGTCTTAAAAGATAACCTATTTTCCAGAGTTTATTGAACTAATATTTACAGATAATAATGTAATATTCGAAATAAGGATGTTTTGCATGTTTCTTAGTATTTTAAAGGGGAGTAAACGTTTTTTTCATTTCTGCAGTTTTAAATGTAGAGCTAAAACTCAACAGTTTAGATGATTGATCTTTCCAGGTTTCAACAAAATTCATCTACTTTGATCTTGGCAGTGTCTTTATACATGGATTGATCACAATCTCATGTTGTCTGGTCCTCAGTGCTGATGGAATTCAGCCACAGCTAGGTGGTTTAGTGGTTTAGGGAGATGACTATCAACCTATCGGTTATCGATCCGAACTCCACTCCACCTTCTGAGATTTGGGCAGCCAGATAGTATCACTAGGTATGTCTCATCGCCTACTGCATGGATGTGCACAAGGTGGCTGAGTACGTTTCGTTTGTCAGCTAAGCTAATTCTGTCGATCATTTTGCAATGTGGCCACCAAGCTAGGAGGCTCATCATTGCGGTTCACTTTGATGGAGGCGCTACCAAATGCCTCCAACCAACTAACACAGCAATATCTTTCTTTCACACTAAGTGTAGCTTATAGGTGTACATTTAACATTTGCTTAAACTATATTTTCTGTATGCTTACTTCGTACACTTTATTTAGTCTTTGTACTTCATATTCTAATTCTGTCGTCTAGACTAAAAGTGAACCCCCAGTCTTCTGTGATGATGATACGTGGCGCAGATATGTGGCTCCTTTAGAGCACTTAAGAGGTAAAGTTTTAAATTTGTGTGAATACTATATTCCCTATCTTTTTATGTATGTATTTCTGGAACGATGCTTCTAAAATGGGTTACTGCATCATCATATAATGTTGACTTTATTCAGTATTAATGTGAGGTATTGAGAAAATAAGTTGGCAGGATTAACTGACCAGCTTAATATTTGTACGTTTTGTCCCACTTACTCTTTTTGTATTGGAGAGTGTTACTATGTTACTCGTTGTGAAGTCGCTGACTATAACACTGGGTGACATGGGCTCGAATCTCAGAAGGGACATCAATTCCGTCGAGGTATCAGATACGCCTTGCTGACGAGTGTCAACAAGCACGAAACCTAGGTCCAGGGCTTCCTACCGATAGCCTCCAACCAACTAACACCTACTAATGTGCACTGCGATGCTGAGGCTCCTAGCTTGGTGACCACATTGCAAATATGATCGGTAGGATTCGATCTGCACTCAGGTCTAGACAACATGAAATTGTTTGCTCTCCCGTGATCAATCAGTGCATGCTACTTGTTATATCTTCGGCTAGATGGGCTGAAAGACACACCCGAGTTAATATTTGTAAGTTGATCCTACGGCCATTAATGTTGACTCAGATAGAAGATTAAGTTAAATGGTTAGCCTACACAATACACAATTATTTGTCTTCAGCCAATTGTATAGGAAGTGTACATAGCCTAATCGGAACGTTGGAGAATGCAAACAAAAACCAAAACATGACGAACTCTTGAAATTGATTGTCTAATGGCTCTCATTCCTTCCGGCTACGGATATAACAAAACTGTAGGTTATTGGGCGAGACACTTGACTGGAGTCAGACGTTTGAAACTTTCTCTACTCATCGAGATTTGCGCAATCAGGTTGTATTGTATTCATCACATAGCACGTTAAGCTTATAAAATAGTGCACCAGTGGTTGTTAATTTGCATTATTTCTTTCATCCCAACATACTTATACATGAGAAGGTGACGATAACAGTTTTTCTCGATAATAATTTTTACATAACCGAGGAAAGAGTTTGTTCCTTATTCTTTTGCTTCCTTTTTAGATATGAAAAATGGTTGGTTTCTGATTGGTGAAGTTTTACGCGGTATTCCTTTTGGCTTATATTTAAGACTTACAATCACGACATCATTACCACGTATACTATGTCGGTGGCTTAAACTTGACAATTTGTTATCTGATCTAACCAAAGAAGAAGTTGAACACTTAGATTCTGAATTGACACGTTTTTACAATGCCAACATGATAAATCAAAAAGATGTTCCAGTTAGAGATCTGTTACGATATCCTTTACGATATGTTGAATTACCAGGCGGATCAAGAGGTCTACTTAATGACTGGTTGTTATCTGCTAAAAAATTGAGAACAGTGTCTGCAATGATTGAAGATTTGTCAGGTGTCACTGGCTTAGTTTCTATGCAACAGAGAAATGTTTCTCAGGCGAAAACAAGTGTAAGTTTTAGATATTTTCATATTGAAAGTATATATATATATATATATATATATATATATATATATATATATATATATATATATATATAATGATTGTCTGATCCACCGTCTCTGTCTAACTGTAGGCGTGATAATATAAATTACTTTTTGATTGGTCCCTCTCCAGACTAGGCTTTTCCCTCTATCCCCTTATCATTTGAAATATTAATTTTTCTTCTGAGTAGTTTACTGGATGTAATTAATTGTGGTCGGTTTCAGATGCTTGGTTTTCTTCATCGTCGAGCGAGTCTACTGGATACTCGTACTGCTGTTCCAGCCTATCAAATTTTGACCAATCTGGAACATACAGAAGTGATACAGTTTGATTTTCAAACTGCTGTTGATGTTGCCAGCTATTGGTTAACTTGTGAAACTATTGCACGCAATACTCCCCTCGGTAATTGCCCCTTTTGAGTTGATTTTATAGCTTGTAAATGAAAATTCTATTTGAAACCTGTTCATATTTAATGTAATGAGATGTATGTGTGTATATTTGTCAATTCTGTAACTTCCACTACCTAATACATCAAAGAAATATTCTTTATCATATATTTGGTTCCTTACATAATTTTAGACAAAACACAAGCAAAAAGATTTTCGTAATAAGATGAATTCGTTTCCCTTCCTATTTTTCATCCGTCACAAACAGTTTGAAATTACAGTAGTTGCTATGTAGCATGACTTAACTATAAAAGATATTAAGTGACAAAATAGGCGTTGAATGTTGAAGAGTACTGATTGTTTAAAAACATCTTGTAACCTAATACTTTTCCTGATAGCTGTTGCAATCTCAGGCTGTTTGCAACTAACATTGGTTATAATTTGTATTTATGTAAGTCACAGCGTGTTTGCAACTAATTTAAAAGCTGGAAAATAAGTTGAATCTATTTTATTTAATGAATATTTCCCTTTTTTCTGTATTCAAAACCATCATATTCCTTTCCAAGAATATAGTGTACGTCTTATACGTGTACACTGTTTCACATAGCTATGAATTTCATCGACGGATACTTTCTTAGCATCTTTAGGATGTTCACAAGATATGAGATGAGTGTCTCAGTTAAGTTTATAACTTTCAACACTAAGGATGTTTCAGCCACTCGATGACCTCCAACATCAATATCCTGTCTCATCGGAACGAAGCAGGTGTTTTAGAAAACATTGTACAGGCTATGTCAAGTTAAAATATCTGCCTCCGTTATCCCTGAACATTCACATCATCCGTATATTAGATCAAACAGGTCGCTTTACAATTTTGACACTCACTAGTTTGGGTTAATCTAGTATCAATCTAGCATTCTTCCTTTTGAATGATTGATCATCCTTGCGTTTTGACCGAGTTGTCCAATCCAGAAGCATGTTTTTCGATAGTCTGTTGACACACTGTAGATATATGAATAGTTTTTACATGATTTTCCCCATGTGATTTTGTTTCATTAATTAAATGTGTTTATTGTGGATTAATTGTGAATTATAAATTATACAGTTGGCTTAGCATTATTACCGTTTGAATGACTTAAAGATCGTGTTTAAAGTTGTCAGTTTTTAAGGTATGGCTTCATCTGGTATTTTCATAATATCAGTGTCTTGTCCAAGGCTGAGGTCAAAACAGCTGTAGATAGAAATAATCCAATTTGTGTGTAGCTTACATACGGTCTTTTTGATAGTAGAATTTCACTTTCAAAGGATACTGAACACCATAAGTTTTGGGTGGGTCGCTAGAGACGAAGCTATATTAGTGCATCGTATTATACTATCAAATCAAGTTAGTCAATCAATATCAACAAAGGACCAAGCATTATCCAACGGAGGTTCAAGTTGCCACATCATATCAGCACAACGAGTAACAAAGTAATAAGATAAAAGGTAAAAAAAGATAAAAATCGATCAAAAGCAGCAGAAGAGAGAAGTGAGAATAACGGTTAAAATTAAGATAAAGTGTGGATACATCTGCACCAGTGATATCGATTCTAAGCCATATAATCTAGAGTCTCCAACCACTGGTTTCTGTTATCACATGGACTCCTATCGTCTAGTCTATTTCTTACATGTTTCAGACCAACAGTAGAAGACTTCAGAGGTTGATATCATGTTTCAGTCTGACCGCCCCTACCTTTTTTCCAGAGTGAACCTACTTCAGGTAACATTGTGCGACTTGGTAGACGGTGACTAGACATATGTAGCGCGTCCCGGGTATCTCAGTCGATTAATGTTCGCCACCTTATCTCCTCCCTAAAACTTTACACCTGACTTCTGCGTTACTGACATGGTGACATCACAACACATGATCTATGCTATGAAGACAATGGTGGTCAAACACCTTTAATGACCATATTTCACAGCCATAGAGTAGAACAGAACGAAGTCTAGCTCTGTACACTCGACCTTTATTAGGCAATTAGACATCGCTGCGGCGCCACAGATTTAGTAGGGTTGGATTTTGTTTTTTCTTTGTATCACTTAAAAGTGAACAGAATTGATCGGTGTTAACCAATCGAAACTCACATTTTTGTTAAAAAGCTAAAATCGAACTTATTTCAGATAAGTGATTGTGTACATTGAAAACTCTATATTACTATTGTAGTATACATATAAAATGCTTATTATACTTGATAATGATTTTCTCATCCTACTCATTATTACTTGATCTTTGTCACCTCTACAGTCGTACAGTACAGATATTCAAGCAAATATAACCGATGATAAATAAACAAATGATCAGTTGATGAAAAAGGAGCCCTCCACAGGCACGTACATATAAAACTTGAGTAAACGGGTGGGGGAAGAATTGATATGCTTGACTGGTACAACTGAAAATATCCATTGAAGACTCTAAAACGCATCAACTTGAGCTACCTTTTGAGTTTAAACCGTAGTGCATAACCAGTCGCTTTATCTTACCCTATATCTGTGGAAAATGACTATTGAAGCTAACGTATTTGAAAAGGTTAGCCATCATAGCCTTTGTAACATTGGTCGCATGTAGCGCAATTATCACCTAAGAAATGTAGACTCTAAGAGGAGAGTCTTTGGTAAAATGAGGAAATTATTTCGTCAGGTGGAGGTGAAGTTCGAGGTGACTGGAATACACGTTATGCATACTTAGCCATTATCTCCACAAATATTAAAGCTTAGCTGGAGTAGGAGTTGGTTAATCTGAGGCTGGGTAAGTGTTTAGATGAAAATATAGCATCAGTGCATATTGTCTTTTACTGTCATTTCGAAACACATGAGGAATTGAAGGCTACCTGGTTACAGATTGTGAAGCTGTCAGAATAGATGGTTAAAGACCCTAACTGATGCGGCTCAGAGTCGACCCCAGTAGTGCAGATGGATTCATATTTTATTCACATCATCATTGGGATCTCATATTTCATTATTTTCTCTACCTCCTCCTCTTATCTTATGGATTTCTACGACCTTTGGTTGTTATTTCGATTATTTATATTTCCTCTTGTCACCTTGACTGTCGATGTAGTAATGTAAAGTGTGAGGACTTTGACTTATACAATAATTCTGGGTCCTATTTTGGTAACGTAAGTCTGTTTGCCTTATTAGTCCTTAGCACTCAAATGTTTTTTATTTACGTGTTGATCGAAATTTGGCATTACTTGTTCCTTACTACATACGTCTGTACATCGTTCGGCTTTCTTCACTACCTGCATTCCCTTTTTCAGGTCACAATTCTTGCAAGGACAAGATAAGCTCAGAATTTCTACCCCCACTAATACCAAGAGTCTCTGCTGAACCTGTGGATGATGGTGCTTTAATTGTCTTGAACTGGCCAGAAGAAATTTTGTCAAAGTTTAAAAATGTTTTATCTGATGGTACTGAATTATATCCTTGTGGTGCCTGTGGATACCACCCAATTGATTGTACTTATAATGCTAGAAACTGGGGTGCAACACGTAATGTAAAATCTAAGCGTAAAGGGGATGCAGACCGCCTTTTATATCTTTTGGAAGAATTTACTGGTCTGGATGATGCTTGTGGTTTTACTACTCCAAGTGATGAACCTTTCTGGCCTTGGTTTCCTAGCTTGTTCTCCGGTTAGTTTTACACTTACTCCATAAGTCAAAATTCTCTTCGCATATATTGATAAAGAATATTAGTAGGATCACTTCTTTTCTGTATCTTAATGTGTTTGTGATGCATGTTTAATATCAAGTAATGTGCAATAAAGGTGTCCACTTATGATCGTTTGAGTTTAGCAGACTTTGTGATGTTTTTTATATTAGTTTATTCTCTTATCAACAACTAGAAGTCATCAAGTGATCTTCCTTAGACCAGGCTTCAACCTCATCTCACATATCAACGATCATTTTGACACTTTGTACCGCCCATATGCCTAGTATAGTTACATAGTTGTATTTCCCAATGATTAAGGCGAAATTGAAGTAGTTAACAGGTGATCATCTCAGTTCAGATGGTTTTCTATCGACCTGATAATTTTCCTTGCAATTATTACAATCTGTAAATTTAATTTTTTAAAATTTTGTTTTAGATCTTCATGTTCCTGCAGTATTAAAACCTGTGGATACGCCACATGTAGTCAGAAGACGATCATGTGCTCGTCGTTCCCTAAGAAATAATCGTCCATACCCTGATGGGAACGGTTTTAATAAAAGGAATGAAACGCGAGAAGTCAATCCAGTGTCACCCAATACTGCTGAGAGACCAGAAGCTCGTGATACTGATAGTATCTTAAAAGACATACGACGACAAAATTTACTAGATGCTTCAGTAAATCATAGAAATGTCAACCAACACCTATCAAAGGACCTATCATCATCTGAAAATAAAGAGAATGTTATCAACAGTTTGTCTTCACACGTGTTATCCAGTTTCACTCCAAGTCAAACAGGTATTCTTGAGATAATTTTTAACGCGATATTGTACTGCTTTTAGGTGCTTTCTAGCTAAAATTTATTGTAATCATTTGCTGTTATTATTTCTACTTTATCCTACGCGTAACACTTCAGAAAACTGAGTTATCGAACCAGGCAGAGTTCATAAAAAACTTTTTATTTGTAGAACAAGAGGTAGAAAAATCAAGAACAAATTGTAGAGTGAACCCTGAACTTCCTTTCAACCTAATGCGATCTCTGATAGCATATCACGTCGAGGTAGGTGGTGACTAGACATGTGCAGTACATGTCCAAGCTGTCGCAGTCGATGAAGCTTCACAGTCTCTTTGGCTGACTTAGCTATCTTGCCTCGTACCCTTCACCTAACCTTAACATTACTCACACGGTGATTCCAACAAATTCGAGGAAGGCTACGAAAACACCTGTGATCGAAACCCTATACTCGCTTCTTGTCTTCGACTTTTAACTGCTGTGTCACAACCCTACAACTAGATAGAACGAACTGCACCGCAGTTGATAGGTTGATAGGTAGTCGGAAATCTGACCAGTTGACACGATAGACGACGCAATTTGGAAAATGCCCAACGAGCCTTCTGACTCGGAGCTAAGATTTCTTCAGTAATCAGTCCCTTCGGACTGATGCAACTTCTCGAGTAAGTGAAGTGGTCGACACATAGCACCACTTCACGCCCTATCATTAAACTGGGAGTAGTTATAGACCAAAACTAGGGGTAACTGAATTGCACACTTAAACGACACATCTTTGAAATTGAGAAGAACAACAGAAGTAAACTAGTTACAATTTCGATATGATACTTAGCACTGCCTAGCACTATCTCTTTGGCACTTTCTGTTTGTCTACTTGTCCTTTGATCAAAGTTTATTCATGCCTTGTAGCTTGAGAATCGTCTTGTGAAAGGTTCCTAATATAATACGTGTTCTTTCAGACATTTAAACTGTAAAATACCTAGTAAAAGTGTACTGGACTTGTTGTGTTCACTTATCCACCGTGTGTCTAGAGGTTTTACATACTGGTTCCACTTAGGATTGTTGACTGAAGTTCCTACCATCCTAAAATGTATTATTAGGTACCCGTTGTAATGACTGCTCACCGACAAAAATATAAGCTTATTGTTCTTTGTTGGTTGTTTGAAGGTAATTTTTAAATGGTTTTAGTCCTAGATGTTGTGCCTGTTCGCATTCCGCAGTAATATGTGCATGCCATCTTGAGCGGAAATTCACTACCTTTGATGATTCAGATGTATCGGTCAGTCAGCATCAATGTGGAGCCGAACACTACTGGGAAACTGCTCAGTTTGCGACAGCTTATTCTAGAATATGAAAATAGAAAGCACCTACTTGGAAGACTGAGAAATGAGCAGTAAAATAATCAAAAGTAATCGGAAGTCGTAGAAAGAGAACAAGAAGAAACGAAAGAGTAATGAAATTAAGGTTAAAATCGTATGTGGATATGTCGACGCCACCGAGGTCGATTCCGAGACATATATCCCAGAGTTTTCAATCACCCATTTCGACTGTCATCTGGACCGCTACCGGGCAGTATACATTTCCCCATATGGCTCAGACCAACAGTTTGAGATTTCATGATATGGTCGATGCTGCGTTTTGGTCTGGTCTTCTTTAACCTTCTAGCGCAAATCTGCTTCAGCCAGTATTGCACGACGGGGTAAACGATGAATAGGTGTTCGTAGTACATATTCCAAACATCTGAGTAGATGAAGGTTCACTATTATGTCAGTAGACCTACATCTTTCTTAAACTCTTCGCTTAGCGTCTGCATAACTGACGTGCTTGCAAAACGATACAACCTGTTCTGCAAAAGCAACAGCAGCTGAACAGCTGAAGCCCTCTCGTGTCCTCTGCTTTTAATGGGCATGTTTCACAGCCATATAGTAGAACAGAGAAATTTATTGTATTACATTTGGTCAGTAAGAGGCAGTTGGATATCACACCGGTACGTCTGTGGTGAGATTTTAACAAAAAGTAATAGGTTGACGTCCTTGAAGAACGCAACTCGATGCATGTAACTTAAATGACAACTCACCATAAGCTTTAAAACACCTTTGAGGGTTCGAATACGCCGCCTTCGACAGAGTGATGTACCTTCTGATAATCACTCTCAGTTAAATACTGTCAATGAACTCTAATTCCGTTTTCAAGTCAGGAAGTTTAAGTAGTGTCGGGCGTCGATAAGGGTGTCTATGTCCCTAATCTGGCAAAATGTGAATATCTGGTCAATACTCTCATAGCCAAATCTGAAACTTGCCTGGTTCTTTTGGGTTTGCTCTTCCCGAGTTCCATTTAAACGTTTAATAACTATACAGAACCTAGAATCTTAGACAGTATATTCTTTAGACTGGTTCCGCTGTGGTTATCACGAGAGGGTTTCTCTGACACCTTGAAGATCGGTACAATCAGTGATTGAAATCGGTCAAATTGGTCATTTTCTAATTCCTATGCATTAGCTAACACTTCAGCTAATCTTGTCGAAATCCGTCGACCGATACCCTAAAATACCTCTGATATTAAACCACCTGACCCTTCTCCGTCTCGGGTTATAGCCTTCTCTAATATGGGCTTAAAACTTGGGCACTGTGGCAGAATTTAGTTCCATATCAGATTTGCTTATTTGATTTATAACAGTGATATAGTATTATTTACTTGATGACATTTCGAGCACTAATTATTGTTCATAATCATATCAATGCAATCACACAACTTTTGACATTTGATTTTTATAGTTATGTCACTTTATAAAGGTACCTTCCTTATAGGTACATCAGAAACTACGTAGGATCTTCAACAAAGCTGGAACTAGGGTGGCATTTAAACCTACAAACTTACTCAGAGATGAGCTTTGTTGGCTTAAGGATCCGATACAACCAATTGAAGCAAAATAATCCAATCTGTCAAATTTCATGCAATGAATATGAGGTCAAGTACATAGGTCAAACTAGCCGGTCGGGGTCAGTTAGAATAGCCGAACATAGGAATTTGCCTAAATATCGAATGACACACCCGAATAAGATGAATAATCTAGAAGGAAACTCGGCTATTGCAATGCATTAACATTAACATGCAACCACATGGTAGGGTGGGGGTAAAGCCACTGTACTTAATAATTAGGTGGAGAGAGGTTGATTGCTGAATCTTTGTTCATCGGATCAACACGCAACATATGTAACAGAAATGACGCAACACCTATACCAGAGATATGGAAAATTTTACTACCGATAAAAACAACTCATATCAAGTGACATAACTATAAAAATCAAATGTCAAAAGTTGTGTGATTACACTGATATGATTATGAACAATAATTAATGCTCGAAATGTCATCAAGTAAATAATACTATATCACTGTTATAAATCAAATAAGCAAATCTAATATGAAATTACAGCCTTCTCAACTTCTGCAACAGTTGGAGAGCCTATCAGTTGAGTATGCAAGTGGATAGCGGGCAACAGAATAGTAGTTGGAAGTTGGTTGAGGTGTTCCTTACGTCGTTCTAGTCATCTTCCCCGTAGATATATCTCAGAACAATCCTTCTCCGCTATGGTCTTACTAACTACTGACCTTTTTATCTTAGATTCTTTAATCAGTTTAAATAACTGTCTACTTTTACCTATGATCACTTCTCATGGTCACTGCGTAGACTCTTTACCAGCCTATATTTTAGTTGCTTCCGTTCCTCATTGTGCTTGGGCTTTGTAAGAATGAGTTTGATTAATTCAGTAGTAGTTCCTAGGGCAAGCTCACGCTCGCTCATCGTTTTCGGGAGGTCAGTCAAGGTCTTAAAGGCATTTTTTTACAGCAGACTGGAGATAGTCCCAGGCTTTTTCATGATGAATGACCTTACATTTTGTTAACTGTCTAATGATTTCTTTTTTGTAATCACTTCATCTGAATTTCACGTAGTACGTGCGTAAGCAGAAATTACCATGAGATAGTGGCGTGTTCTACTATTCAGTGAAACAACTAACAGATGACTATCAAGTGAGAAACAGTTGAGGAGTTCACTCTTTACCCTCTTTATTCCCATGGAGAAGGTAGCATCAAGATACGCTGTTAGTCACCTCAGGGAAACACCTTACTGTCACACTCCTGTCTAGTCACTAATACTACTTCACCCTCTAACGTCTATTATCACCTAGCAACTTACATAGTAACGGCAACTGCTTTTTGTCTAAGCATTATCCAGAAGACCTTTCTGGTATTCTAGGACCTCAAGCGACGCGTGTCCCTTCTAGCATAGCTCGTTGGGATATTCTGATATGCAAACCTTACCATCACTTCTAGATAGTAGCTATCGGCTGGGCTCGGATGTGTGTTTTCCTGCGACTCAAGGACGTTTACAAGTCGCTGTCAACATACGTTGGGTAGAGTTTACGATTTCCATGATATTACAGTCTACAGATTCCTCTAAAGTTATAGATACTATTTTCTTTCCGAACAAAACCACTTTGAAATAAATTCCAACCACTGTTTGGGTTAGGTTTTTTCTTTATTTGAATCAACTTCTTTCAATTTCATAAACACTGCAGTGGCTGTGATGCTTTTTTTCAAGTTTTTATTAAATTTATGCATTTTAATAATTCCCATTTACCATAAAACCGTTATTATTTGTGTAGTTCACCGCTCTTTTTAGTTTTTAAACGTCTTTATGTGTATAATACATCTGCATAGTTGACTTCATTATTTGTTTTTCTTTGCAAAATCAACATTTCATTCATAAGCTCTTTCACCTCTAATGAGTGATACATTTTTAAAAGTCATAGTTTATCTATGCTTTGTTTTTTCCTTGAAGTATACCGTTATGTGCTAATTAGATAAATATCCCATTGACATACAAAAAGTACAAAGTGATTCAGCGAAGAAAATCTTTTCGACGAATCATTTCCAGTAGTTGTACAATCGTATTTGTAGTAATAAACAAATAAACAAGTTTATTATTGGCTAATAATTGAACATTAT